GGGTAAGAAGGAAACGATTTGGTTTGATTCGAGCCACTGTGTGAGCAAGTGTGTGTGTGTGTGTGTGTGTGTGTGTGTGTGCACGGCTTTGCTGCAGCTTTCCCTGTGTTGCCGTGTCACGTCTTGGTCCGACGGAGAGTCCAGGGTTTTATTGGATCTGTAGAGGAGTTCTTCCGCCTCCATCGGTTTGTTGTTGAGAGTCTTGCGTCAAGACTTTCCAGTCTGTTGCTTTGCATCTTGCTTCGTTTTTAAGAGGGGGTGGGGATGTCAGCTCCATAATGTGCGAATTTGGAAAGGAATGTTTATGATGATTGATGATCAGTCTGGTAAGGTGTGTGGTGTGTGTGGTGTTATCAAAGCGCCGCAATCTCTGGGCTGGAATGGCCTGGCCCCGAGGATTCATTGGCCGCAAACGGTATGTTGACTGGTACAGTTCGGTATGTGTAGTGTACTGTGCCTCGGTGGAGTTCTTCTGCCCGATCTCAAGGGCCCACTGGGTACAGATCGCATTCAATGGAACAGAAGATGTGCCGAGTTTCTTATCAGTATCAGTTGCTATAATGGTGGTGGTGGTGGTAGATGTCAAGAAGATGAAACTATGATGGTTGAATATTTTGAGGAAGAATGGGAGCAGTCAATAAAAATGGTGGTCAATAATTAAATAATACCAGTCATTATAAGAATCATGATAATGAATGAATGGAGTGGCGCTACAGGATGGTAACGGGAGGGGAGGGGGGGAAACTGGACAGTGGAGGCAGTCCCACCGCCCGTGCCAACTGCTCCGTGCCCACTGTTTAACTGTTCTAGTGCCCTTTACCCCTCCCCACCCCCGTATTATTATTGTTCAATCTGTACAACATCATCCTCTTCTTCCATCATCATTAATTTCCCTTTACTTTTCGTCTTCAACAACCACTTCTCACCCTCCTTCTCCTCCTTCCTACTCTCTTTAGTCTTCTTCTTTTTATTCCAGAACAGAAGCCCAAAATAACAAAACCAAATCAAGAAAAGAAGAAAAAAAGGCGGAGAAGAAACAAAGCCCAGGAGAGAGAAATCCAGGTGCAGAAATAATCCGGCCTGATTCTCAGTTGGGCCATTATTACTGCGTCTATCTATTTCTCTTTTCAGTTTATCTTCTCATTTGCCTCCCTCTCTCTCTTTTTGTCTTTCTCTTTCCCTCGATTCTTTCTCTCACTCACCCTCACTCTTCCACCCTCATCCAGGCTTTCTTTCTCACCTGCTCCACCCTTTCCCGCCGGCACAGAGCACTCGTGGTCAGCTTCCCGTATCATTTGTGGGGTTGGGCGCCTCCGAGGCTTGCTATCAGCGACTAGTCGGTGGGTATTCCTCCATGCCCACTTCCCACTCAGTTCCTTGATCTAAACCCGCCTCGATTGCACCCACAATCGATCGCCTGCCCGCTTGCTTGGTTCAAAGCCTTCCCTTATCTTTTCGACTTCTGCTTCACCTCCTGTCTCTTTGTTCCCGTTCACTTGCTGATACCGTCGGCTTCAATTAGATCATCATTGTAAACCTTATTGAACCATTTAAAGTCTGGCGTATGTCACCTTACTCCCCCCGACCCCACCTGTCATTCGATCGCGCGGAACATAATACGCTTGCTTGTTTTGGGGTTCATTGCGATTGCGGACTCATTGCTAACGGGAGATCTCTCCCGCAGATACCACCACATCGTCCGGGGCTGAACGCTGAGACCACTCAACACTAATGCACTACTGATTGGCTTCTTGTGGTGTAACAATTCGTCTTGGGTGCATACCTTCGCCCGCCGCAACCATTGGAGCAAATACCAGTATGGCGACAGTTGTGGTGCAGCAGCACACGCTGCGACATTCGACTCCCCCGCCATCGGGGATCACCCCCGCCTTGAATCTCAACAGAACCTCGTCGCCAATCCCAAACAAGCATCTGCCTGTGTGCCCGACGGGCCCTTCTCCCGTTTCCTCTCACATCTCTTCCCCCGCTGGAAGAAGCAACACTACCCTTCAGGCTCCCTCGCTCTTACACCCACCCGATGCATTCCTGCAACTCTCGCAGTCCCCTCCAATATATTCCTTAGACCGCGCAAGCTTGGCGGCTGCTTTGGACCATTGGGCCTCGCAGCCGTTACCAGATCCATCTCAGGTCTTCCCGTGGCTTCATGGGCTTCATCCCGACAATCATCTGCAGGTCGGCTTCTTCACCAATCGCCGGCGCTCCCTCAGGCGGCTTCCCAAATGCTGGCGAGGCATCACCATCGTAAAGGTCGGCGGAGACTTGAGCAGGGCACGCATCAAGGGTGCAGTGTCTCCGGATGAGGTGCTGGCTCCGTCAGGTAGAGAATTCTTTGCAGTAGACCCGCGGGAGGGCTTCTCAGTGCGCAACTTCCAGATACAAACTGCAAAGCTGGCTCCATTATCTGATATCATCGTTTATGGCGAGGATAATGTCAGTCAGAATCAGATTTTGGATATTGCGGCAAGACTGGCCACAGCACAATATCACTGGAGGCTCAAGAACGACCTCGAACAGAGCTTACCCTCGTACAACACATTTATCCTTGCTTGTGAGTTGAATCGGTCGGCGTATGCGAACATTAAACTAAGTCCCAAACAGGTCCCTTCTCTGAGATAGAAGCAAAGTCTCCGGGGCTGGTCGCTATCGGTAGTAATGGTCAGCTTACGAACCAGGTGATGGACTTCTGTAAGTAAACATCGCATTCGAATCAAGAGCGCAGCTAACCGCCCATAGTCCAATGGGAACGGTTCGAGATGTGCGAGATGTCTCGTGCATCCGAGATCTCAAGGAACATATGGCTGGGCCCGACATCCGACTATTTATTATTATCTGGGCCCGGTGGTTGCCCATCTGCGGAGACTTTCGACCTGCTGATCGAAACAAGCGAGCTAGCGAGCATTCCTGGGCCTCGTTTTCTGGCGAACCTCAACAAGCAGCTCGAAGAAGGACCACAGAAGTTGGAATTTCCCTCATCTGGATCGATCCTCGCACCTTCAAGTGAGACCCGAGAAGTTGATGACTTGGTGAACACGATCCGCTGGTTGTACTATTTGGCAAACCCGGATGAACCGGAGCACACTGTTGACGCCGATGGTGACATCGCAATGCCGCCTCTCAGCAGAAGGCCACACAAGATCCTGATTCATTGCCCCGACGGTTACACTGAGAGCTCACTCCTAGCAATTGCATACGTGATGTTCGCCGAAGGTATCTCCGCGCCCAATGCCTGGCTCCGTCTCCACAGTGAGAAAAAGCGAAACTTCTTTGCGTATCCCTCGGATGTCACGTTCTTGAGCAGCGTGCAAGGGAGGCTCTTGCAAGAGAGTCCGGCCACGAAGTCTCACAAACTTACCAGCCTTCCCGACCCGCAATGGTTTAGATATTGTGACGGCTCCCTGCCGAGTCGGATCTTGCCGTATATGTACCTTGGCAACCTCTCCCATGCGAACAATCCCGAAATGCTTTGGGAGCTCGGTATTCGTCGTGTTCTAAGTATTGGTGAATCGGTGACGTGGACTGCGTCCGAAACCAGGAAGATGGATCCAAAGAATGTGATGCACATTACTAAGGTCCAGGATAACGGCATCGATCCGTTGACTCAGGAGTTTGAAAAGTGCTTGGAATTCATCCGTAAGGGTCATCGTCACAGCAAGTAAGGCTATGTCGCTTACCTTTCTCTCAGGTCAAGGAAAACGCGATGGCATGGCTACTCTGGTTCATTGCCGTGTGGGAGTCTCACGCTCGGCTACCATCTGCATAGCCGAAGTAATGTCGTCTCTTAACTTGTCGTTCCCTAGAGCTTAGTAAGATTCGACAGAGATCACGCCTGATATAATTGCTAACATCCATGCTAGTTGCTTCGTTCGTGCGAGAAGACTCAATGTTATCATTCAACCGCACCTGCGTTTTGTGTAAGTCTTCCGAGCTTGCTACGGTCATTTGCCGTTCCGCCATGCTAACGGGATGCTCAGATATGAACTTCTCAAATGGGAGGAGTTGCAAGTACAAAAACGCAACAAGACGCCCAGAAGAGAACTAGAATGGCCGACTGTGGCCCGCGAGATTGCGCTTATGAACAAACCATATTCCCGATAGTGGAGCGACTCTGCATAGTATACATACACACCTCCTGCAGGAGCACCCCTGCAGACAAGTACGTACCTCGCCAGGCCCTGCTTTGCATGATGTATAGGAGGCTGCAATGCAACCAGGATCCGGCAAGAAGAAGAAGATTGCAGGGATCGTTCCCTCAGAGCCGGGAACACGCGCGCACACCTGCACAATTTTACCTTGATGACTGTTGAAACGGAATTTTACGAGGGCATGAACTGAACCGATCTAATGGAATTCCGCATTTTTTGTTTCTGCTTGGCGTTGGATGGGATTTGCTTCCCGCGTGAGAAGTAACTTGAATCTCTGTGGTTTCATCTGATACATGCATCCGGATATATGCTAGTGATGTATGAGATAATTATCTTTGTGTGTTCGGCTGGGTTGTGTGGGCGTCTGTGGTAATGGGACTTTTGTGCTGTGTGTTAGGTTTGGAAGCTTTTAGTGGTATTTCGTCTTGCCTACACTACCTCATTTGCTACCAGATGATGATTTCGATTGGAACTTGAGTTGATTAGATGGTGTCATGATGCTATCTGTAGGTATGGCTGATTCTCACAGTGTTGGAGCTCAACCTGTTTTGGGTAGTATTACTCTTACTTTCTGAAATGTGCTGTTGAGAGATAACCTTAATGTGCACGCAACATGTACTTGGGGTCAACGGTAGGATATCTGTTCAGTAGAACATGCTCCGTGCCACAGACTTGGCCTTCTTGCTAATTGTTTCTATAAACATCCATGATTGTACTGTGCCATTCCTTCTCATAGGTCTGCATAATGAATTCTTACATCAGCCCAAACAATACCTTACCATACCATAAAACCCTCGACCCTCGCCGTTCCACAGAAAAGACAACAGACCAACTAAACAAGGCCTCCCTATTCCTCGAGATACATACATCTACGACAACCCCCCAACACCACACCACCCCCACAGACCGAACACACCACAAGCAAGCAAAGGGGCGAAATCAACACCGCTCAAAAACCCGATACAGCCCCTTCAAATCCGCCACCTCAATCACCCCGCCCAACAGCCGCGTCGTCGCCACCAACCGGCCGCGCATCGCCGGGAACACGACGTGCTCCAGCATCCGGGCTATTTGCACGCGGCGCTGCTCTATGTACCTTTCTGTTTCGTGCTCTGCGGAGTTTTCCTGCGGGATGGATCGCTTCTCGGTAGAGTTGTCATCAGTTGGATCGGTAGGAGAGGGGAAGGTTTGCTCCCTCGCTGCTGCTCCTGCTGCTGCTCCTGATCCAGCTGTTTGTGCATGCTCCGCAGGCAGCGGCAACGGCAACGGCTCCGGGACATAAAACGCGGCCAACTCGCGCAGAAAGCTGCGGAAGCACGCTTCCTCGTTCGACCAGTCGACGTAGGGCCCCAGCCGCAGCAGGAACTTCGGGAGCTTGGCGAGACACGGCAGGTAGCCCTTCAGCAGCAGGGGCAGGGAGACGAGGGCGCCGTCCTCCGAGATTTGGAGGGAGAAGTACTCGTTTAGCATCTCGCGGCGCGCGAGGAGGGTTTGCGCGATGACTTCGGGGGCTTTGGTGTAGATTTCTGCGGCTGCTGTAGTCGATGGAATTGGGGGTGGGGGTGAGGTTGTGTTTTGGTGGTCGGCGGCTTCTTCGGCCTCAGCCTCGGCGGCGATGCGGAGCAGGTCGATGAGCTGCGGCGCGGGATCCAGGGTTATGACCCCGAAATTGCCGAAGTCGGTGAGGCCGATCTGGTAGAAGAACTCGTGGCTGAAGAGGCCGTAGTCCACCAGGTAGAGCTTCACGCCGCTTTGGATGGCGGCAATGCGCCGCCGTTCGTCGACCAGCCCCACGTACGTGAGCGCCGCGATGGTCTCGGTTAGCGTCGTGTGCATGCTGCTGCGCACGGCGGCGCGGAGGTTCTTGATGGAGGTGAGGGCGATGCGGAGGGGTTCGCGGGTTGTGGTTTCGTAGTGGAGGCCTTCTTCGTCGAGGACGGTCGTGGTGGTGGTGGGGTTTACGGCTGATGAGGTGGCGGCGGCGGCGGCGGCGGGCGTGAGCATGGAGGTGATCTTGCGGACTTTCGAGTCGGTGCGCACCAGGTTGTGTTCGTAGGGTTTCTTGGTGGTTGCTGGCGTTTTGGGGGTCTTCGGGGCCCCGATCGTCCCTCCACTGTCGTCATCGTCTGGTTCTTCGGCGTCGGCCGCCATGGTTCGCACGCCTGGGAGGAGGGTTTGCGTGAGGAAGGTCCGGCTGGAGTCAACCTGGGCCAGCCTGGAGCGGATGTCGGCGCAGATGCTTTCAATAATCTCGTCTTCGTTCAAAAAATTGACCTCGCGTTTCGTGGGGTGGACGTTGACGTCGACCCGTTGCGGTTCGATTTCTAGATCCAGATAGACGAAGGGGTGGCCACCCTTGGGGAGGAAATTCGCATATGTCTGCTCGATTGCTCGCTTCAGGGCGGTCGACTCGACCGAGCGGTGATTGATGAATAGCAGGATGACCGTGCGCTTGACATGATAGTTGGCGTTGGTAGCCAGGCCCGACGAGCGGAACCCGAGCTTATCGTCCTCGACCCGGAACTCCACGAGCTCGTTGGCCACGGCGCTGCCGTGGATCTGTCGGATCCGATCGATCGTGCTTGCGTTGGCCGGGGTGGAGATGCTGACGCCCGAGTCACCGTGTTTACGGCACGAGAAGGCCACCCCCGCGCAGTGGACGGAGTACCGTCCAACAACGTCCAGAATCTTGGCGTATTCTTCGCTCGCGGAGCGAAATGCTCGCCGTCTGGTTGGGACGTTGTAGAAGAGATCCTCAACCTACGCAGGTCAGCAATTTGTCCGCCAGGGGCTGCATTATCATCAAACGCACGGTGATCTGCGTGCCTCCGCGGCCGGCAGTGGCTTTGGGGGCAGCGCTTTGGCCGGGCTTCGCAGGAACAAGCTTGCCATCACTGTAAACCGCTTTCCAGGCACAGCTCGATCCGGCCGTCTTCGTAGTGACGGTCAGATGGGCGATGTGGCTGATACTTGCCAGGGCTTCGCCTCGGAAGCCGTAGGTGCCTATTGAGGTGAGGTCCTCGAAGGCCTTAAGCTTTGAAGTTGTAAACCGCTCGCAGAGGATGGGTAGGTCATCTCGCTTCGTTGGATTAGCGGATGGATGTCACGACATTCAGCACAAACTCACGTCGATGCCATGGCCGTTATCGGTAATCTGGAGTAGTTTCAGCCCGCCATCCTTGATCAGGATCTCAATGGAGGTCGAGCCAGCGTCGACGGCGTTTTCAATCAACTCCTTCAAGGCATGCATGGGAGCAACAATGATCTCTCCAGCTGCAATCTTGTTGACCACATCAGGGTCAAGGGCCTATGGTTGTGAGTATAGCATCGCTGGAGATGGTCCGGGTGAGCAACTGACCCTGATTCTCTTAGGCTTCTTCGGCTCATCATTCTGCTCGACCTCCTCTGCGGGCCTTTTGGTACCCCGTGGCTCGAACGTATCGATCTCCATATCAGGATCCATAGTGGCGGTCCTATTGACCAGGCGATGGCGGGACAGAGGGCTGAATGGTCTCGATCGATGACGTAACCGCAGCAATCAACCCCCGATAGACACGTCCCCAGTCTTTCAGTAAGACTCGTCCGACGCAGTGTAAAGAACAATTGATCAACACTTTAATTTGAAAGTGCGCTTCTATTCGAAGACTGTTGCGATGCTGAGAAAGCGGTGGGGAGGCAAATGGAATAAGTCGGGCAAATCGCGTGTCCGCTCGCGTCGCCGCCTTTTTGTCGCGTTGCGATCGCTCATGTAAGAAGGTAGAGATCGCTTCCTGACATTCTGCTAAAGGATCTTCAAATTCCAGAATGGGACACTATGAGTTGGTCTTAGTCTCCATAGTCATGCAGCAGGCTGTCTAGATCTTGCGGTGTCAATTTAATACCATAGCTATGAACACGCGCGGTCACATGACCTGTCATTTTTATCTCAATGCGGGAAACGTCCGGACTAGCAGCAGTGAACCTTGTTGATGCCTAATGTATCAAGAAGAATATGAATCGAGGGAGTGTCTGATTTTCTCCTCTACGTAAGAAAACAGTATTTTCATGGAGAAGTACACTTCGCTAACACTTTACATCAGATCACCAACGCAATACATAACCGCGCGGGTATCAACCAGAACCATACATTGGTCGATGCATTAGAGTTCACCATCAAGCTCCAGCTTGGAGACGACAAAATGCAAACAGACACCAGTATCTTGGAGCAGGAGCTTGCTTCAAGTCCCCAAGCTCCAGCCCCAGCTCCAAACACATCATCTCCTCGCCCTCCAAGGAAGCCAAGAAAACAGACCCTCAACCCCCTCCACCATGGCATCCAAGCCTTTATCACTCAGCACCTTCCTGCAGATACCCTAGCCAAGCACAACCTGACCCTGACTTCCCTTCCCAAACGCTTCACCATCTACGAACCTCTCCTGCTCCTCCCGGTGAATGCCTTCACCACTCCCCCGGCCTGGCACTCCTTGTACCAGGATCTCACCGCGACGCAGCGGCAAAACCTCTTTGCCACCCTTCTCCAGTCCTTTGCCCGCTACGGCCTCACCCACGTGGCCATGAACGCGCCTATTTCACTCACGGACCCCAACTCCGGGGCGGAGAACCGGATCCGCAGTCCGGGAGGGTTGATCCCGCTATATGGGGACTTCGGGCCTCTACCGGATGCCTCTGCGTCGGCTACTGCGTCTGCGTTGCAGGCACAGGGGGAAGGTGAAGAGGCGATAGCATGCCCGACAGCCACAGACCTCGAGCAAGCGTTCTGGGTGCGTACGGTTCAAAATCACGGGATTGTACAGATCTGGGCGCCGTTGTATACCATGTTCTCGCGGGGGAATATTACTGAGAAAGCACGGATTCTGGGCAGTGAATTTGAGGGTTTGGATGAGGAGGGACTCGGGGAGAAGGTCTCGGGGATCAGCGTGGTGGACATGTATGCCGGGATTGGGTATTTCGTGTACTCGTATCTGAAGCGTGGGGTGAAGAGGGTGTGGGGGTTTGAGATCAATGGGTGGTCGGTGGAGGGGTTGCGCAGGGGGTGTAAAGAGAATGGGTGGGGATGTAAGGTGTTCCGCGTTGGAGAGGACGGATCGTTACTGGGAGGAGAGTCACTAAAGAAAGTGGTGGAGGGGTTGACGGAGGAGGATCGCGTGGTGGTGTTCCATGGGGATAATCGGTTTGCCGCGGAGATTCTGGGGCAGATTAGGGGGTGCGTGAGAGCGGAGGAGTGGAATAGCGTCAGGCACGTGAATTTGGGATTGCTGCCTTCGTCTTGCTTTGCGTATGAGAATGCCTGCAAGATTGTGGATAGTGAGAAGGGTGGGTGGGTGCATGTTCATGAGAATGTCGATGTGCAGGGCATCGAGGAGAAGAAGGACAAGGTCACCGCGGTATTGGCAAGACTGCGAGTGAAAGTGTTGGGAATAGGGTCCGAGAAGGTGACTGCTGCAGCTGATTGTCGGCATGTTGAGCAGGTCAAGACTTATGCGCCGGGGGTGATGCATTGCGTTTTCGATGTGCGGCTATCTTCAAGAGAAGAAATAGAAGCGCCCAACACTCGTGGCAATTGAACCACACACACACACACACACATCAATACTCCATGAAGTCCAACCTTCGGGTGATGCAATCGACGCTCAAGATCATCTCATGAAACATATGTACAGTACAGTGGCAACAGCGCAAGAACTCTACAGTACAGATCTTCAGCTCCGCTTGAGGAACTTTTGGGGTATGTTCGCCTCCACGATCTGCATATTCTCGAGCTGTTCGAGGCGCTCCATGGCAAGATCCTCCTCATCATGTCTGCGGAAGTGTTCGATATCCTCGGGGTGAGTGAGGTCCTCCTCCTTTGCATCTTCACCGTGGAACTTCTCGAAATGATGGATCTCATATTCGTATTCGATATCACCGTGATGACCCGGTCCGAGTCCGAGATCAGGGAGCCGGGCTCCGTCTGCAATGACACGCATCCAGTTATCGCGACTGATGACGCCCGTGTTGGTGGGATCAAAGATACTGAAGACTTCGCGGAGACCTTGCGATTTGCTGTCCTCTGTCACCCCCGCGTTGGACTCGTCGTCCATGCCGTATGTCTTGCGCACTTCTTCGGGGGTCCAGACTCCCGAGGCATCGTAATCGTGGAGGGAGAAGAAGGAGGCGGGATCGAAGGCATCGATGTGATGTTCCTCTATGAACGCACACGATTACATCAGTGACACTGCATTGGCTTTCGGGTAACAACCCCCGAGATTTCCACAAGGTCCTTACCCTGCATATGCCGTGTTGCCCAGTCGGACGAGGGTGGCTGGTCATTCGAGTGCGAACCGTGGGCGCTGACAAGAGTGCCGCTTAGGGCCAGGAGAGCAGTAGCTACTGTGACGAGCATGGTCACTTCAGCGATGATCGCACCAGCTTATCGAGTAATATCAATTGAATAGAAGCAATGACCAGACAAGCTTCCCAAAAATGACCTGCAGATCTGACAGATCAATATTTGTTAGCTAGTCAAAGCAATTCGTCACCACGGTAGGTAGAAAGTTGCAAGTGAACCACCGTAACCGTATGTATTGATGACAATCGGGGAATGGGAAGGGAGGGGCCGGCCGGGGGCCGAATTGACTAGTGGGTGGTTTGCACCGTTTGCAAGCGGTGTGGTGGTGCGACTTTTGCCGATGCAATCCTGTTGAAAGCAAAAGTTCCAAACTTCGACATCGGCCAATTGCTTCTCCATTTCACAGGCTCCACTGAACGTCTATCGTTCCCTTTCCCATTGCCTTCGTTTGTCAGAGAGCCCGGTCAATTGGATCCCGGCATATCTTGGAATTACCTTGTTGGTCTCAATTCAGGGCGCAGAAATGACCGGAGAATGAAAGGTCTCTGGTCCCGCGTCACCCCGGCGCAGTCAACGTGCCGATGCGTCTCCTGCCTCAGCACCGTCTCCAAAGGCGTAGCATCGCGAGGGGCTACAGCAGCCAGCAAGAAACGACTCCGCCTAGGCAATTCGGTCACAGCCCTGTACACGAGTATCTTCGCCGCTGCGGCCCTAGCAGACGCCCAGGCCAAAGGTCAGCGCCGCAATGAGTGGGAGGAGAAGATCGCAGCGGCCAAGGGTGAGGTCAATGCGCTGCTTGATGAGGAGGAACGCCTGGTAGAGGCCATTTTTGCCCGTCGCGGCGAGGGACTGGAAATAATTTCGACCCGACAAACTAGCACACAAACAAGAGCAACTTCCTATCGATACCGATGGCCGTCAACGAATATCTCGCGTCGCTCATTCCATATGAGTCGAAACGTCGCTCTCAGCAAGAGCAATCAACGGCGAGACGAGAACAGCCTGGAAGAGCTCAACAAAATCAGCGAAGACCCATTGTTGGAAGTCACGGAGGAGGATAACTTGTGGATGATCGAAGACTTTGACACCCCTCAATGGCTCAAGGAGAGCAGTACTCGCCAAAAGGCTATCCGCAAAATGGCGCTGAAGCAATTGGCCATTCGGATGCTACTCCGACGGGGAATCGCGCATAGTTACCAGGGTCTGCAGATGAAATACGCAGTCGACTATTCTATGCCTGCGCCCAACGTTCCGGAGCTTCTTGTCCACTTAGATAAGCTCCGTAACCGAATGAAGAACGTGAAAGCTTCCAAAAGTGCCAGCATAGAAGATTTGGAGGCGGAGATGAATTCGCTTCCACCTCAAGATCAAATGACGGAGCGCCAGAGGCTTGACGGGGAAATATACCGAGATACCAATCTTTACCTGGCGAACAGGATGTCTCTTCAAGAGCTTCTCCTCAGACTAGCCAACAACCTCACAAAATCCACCAACCCTGACCGCAGTCTAGGTCTGAAGCATATGCTGCTGGCATTTACCAAGACCCGAGAAAACGACATCTGTGAGATGATTCTACACGCCATCATACCCCATAAATTCCCTCTCACATCGTCTCTCATCATTTCAATTCTGAACTTCTTCCGCAAATCTAAGAATCTCAAGGCCTTTGACTTGTTTCTTCGCCAATTAGCCGGGAATGGCTATCCGCTGGATATGGGCAACCTAGGCCATTACAAGAATGTGGTGGTCAACGGAATCGAGATTCAGGTCCCACCAGTCGACAGTGCGAATGCCGTCATCTACGGCACTCTGATTCGGTCATGCCTACGCTTCAATCAGCCCGACCGTGCGGACGCCTACCTTCAAGTCTCTCGAGCATCTGGGTATATGGACGACTATGCGACTTTGAGCTCCTACCTTGGGTTCTACGCCATCCGGTCTGACTGGGCAAAGGGTATCCAGGCCCTGCAACGGACCGTCGCCTTTATTGGGTCGACAACGGAACACAGGGCGACGCGCGTCGAGCGCCTGATTATCAAAATGGTTTACCTCTGTGATGAATGCGAGCAAACCCAAATCTCCGATAAGATCATCCAAGCGTTTGTGAAGAGTGGATTTGACGGAAAGTGGGCAGAAAAACAACTTGATTTGACCTTTGAGCGCGATCCGCGTTACAACCGCTGGAAGGCCGCTCAGACCGCAGTGGGCACAGAAGCCGCCGAGGCCTCCAAAAAAACGTTGTGGGAAAAGTGTTATTCCTTTGTTCAAGCTGTCGGCGAGCAGCTCGACGGTCTGACCACCGAGCGAGCCTCCACCGCTCAGTGGCAGGATATGATGAAGTCATACGCCCACAATGTCCTCTCTGCCATTATCTCCGGACCGGTGGCTATGCACAAAGCCGCGAAAGAGGGCGGTACTGGAGACCTCGTTCAAGACGATCGCACCACACTCCTGAAGGAAATCAGTCAGCAAGCCCATGATATTCAGCAGCACAACAGCGCAGTCGTCAACGCCCAGAAGACCGAGATCGCCTCCCTACAAGCTGAGATTGCTCAGCTCAAGCGCATGGTCTTCGATCTGCACCGAACAGTCACCATTTCCAACCCCCTTCCTCAAACATCTCCACCGTCGCCTTCCCCTCAACATTCAACGACGACTGCTACGTCCGCCCCCATAACTCGACCCACGCCTGTTGACACCACATCCCCCCCGCCTCCGCGTCATGTTACAGCGCCTCATCTCCACCTACCAGCCGGGTTGGCACATAATCTAGTCTCATCATCACCCAGCCCCACCCAGGGAGATCAAGATTCACCGGCTAAGAAGAAATGGACCATGTCATTCGGAATGATGCCTTCGTCCAAGCCATGAACTCAGGGATACTTAAGGGAGATCTCGTTTTTGTACGGAACACCAGCCCTTGGTACTGTCTCGTACTTTGCACCGATCCTAGTATTTCCACCTCAAGAAGGTATTGCTGGTGCTGAGGCCCTGGAATTTGAGGGGCCCTGAGTAAACAGGGGCAGCAGTAGGCCCCACTTGCCTGCTGCGCATACTGTATATACCATATGCTCACTAATTGAGGTTTCCGGGGATCATGGGACGGTAGGGTTGCGAGTATCCCCTTCGATACCAATGGGCATTTGATATCATGTGATCTTGAACAAGTGCCCAGAGTGGGAGGCACCTTTGCGCTTCAATCTTTGTATATTATACCTGTACTACAACGGTAGATAGCTGAGCGAGTATATCAAAATACCAGATCCATTTCTTATCACTCAGTTGCCTACATCGTGTCTCTCCTTCCTTGGCACGTACCCAAAGGAAGCCAAATGGAAGTCTCGCCATGCAGAAACAGCACCTCCCGACCGAACCCAAAGGCCCTCTCCCCGTACCCGCCTAACACAGCCCATTCATTTACCCCAACAACCCGAGAGCGGCCTCCCGCTAACAATGACGCCTTCCCTTCGCATTACCGGGTGCGAAAACAAATGACCCCCCCATGACGCCCTCCCTTCGCTCGCCCACAGCTCACAAAAAGGATTTGAACCCGGACTCTGCCGTCGCACCGCGGTTCAAGACTACGGTGGCTCTGGTGAGGACCGCTACACCACCGCGGCTGCCATTGTATACTACCCTTCGGATGTTGGTGATAGACCCACTTTTCCTAATGCCTCAGGCCGCCACAACACTCCAGCCCTATGAATGCCTTAGGCTGCCATTTGTCTGTCTTTTTGAGTAGAATCGAGGTACATGCTTTGGAGTATTTGCATGTATTTTATTTGGGAGTTGGGCGATTATGGCGTCTCTCATAATACGCAGAGATACGGATGGGAGGGCAAGGGTTCATTTTCTCACGGTGCAGCTGACACAACTTACTGCTTAGAGATTATTTTCTCATTCATCGCCGTGTCTACGTCTACCAGACGCCGAGACGGAACACACGTGCGGGAAATCAAATGGATGGAACGTCCTGTGCTCAAGTCATATTTGCTCGTGGGACTTGGAGATGTATGATATCATGTTTCAAAGAGAAAAAAAATGTCTATTATATTTCATGAGAATGGTAAAAAGCAACGCGACAAAATATGCTATCCCATCTATCGTCTCTTTTCCGCACGGATCTTCTCACGACGCGAGAGTCGCTCGGCGGCGCGGAGGAGCGAGGAACGGATGTCGCCCTTGGCGAAAGTGGAAATGTCGTAGTAGGTCGGGGCGATGTCCTAGATTTGACACAGGTTAGTGAAACTGTCGATGCAATTTTTTTTTTCTCTTAACGAGCCAGGAAGGGTTGAACTTACAATAAGCCACTCGGGCTTGACAGCGGTCACGGTACGGATGTAGTTCTTGGTGGTGAGCACGAACTCATTGTACAGGACCCACTCAGCCTCGTGGCCGAGCACCGTCGAAGGGTGGAGCAGGACGTTCTGGTGGTCCTTGATGGTCATGTACATGCTCTTGCCCTGGCTCTCCTTCTTGGCGACCTGCATGAAGAAACCGGCGCACAGCGCGCGGCGGATGTTCTCGTAGTACTTCTTGTCCTCAAAGGGCGTGGAGATCATCTCGAGCTCCTCGCGTTCCATGATGCGCAGGAGCTGCATGCGGACGTTGTCGGCCGACTGCAGCGACCGGAGGGAGAGGAAGTGGTCGTGGCACCATTGCTTGAGGTTGTCCTGGGCTTCGGGGCTCTTGAAGGCGTGGTAGACGTTGAGGAGGGTCAGGTGGTCACCGTCGGGGTGGGAGAATAGGTCTTTCATCTCGTCTGCGCGCTTCCTTTGAGAGGCCGGGCGGACGAACACGTTGGGCACGGAAAGGAGGGCCGTGATCGAGAGGATCTCGTTCGAGCAGTAGAATTCGGGGGAGCTGATAAGCATGACGGCAAGGGAGGGGTCGAGAGGGAACTCGGATGCGAGGCGGCCCAGCTGGGTCAGGTTTCCATCGTCGTCGAGACACGCAAGGTAGTTGAGTTCCTCCAAGGCTCTCATCAGGGTCTCGGGGGCCGGGGGATCCATCAAGTCGAAGTGGACGAGATCGTCGATGCCAAGTTTCTTAAGCTCCAGCACTGTCGAAGAGAGGTTGGATCGCAGAATCTCGGGATAGGTCTGGTCGATCAGTTCCTTCTTGAAGGCGCCTTCTGTATAGAGACGGAAACACTTTCCGGGACGGGTACGACCAGCACGACCAGCTCTCTGTTGGGCGGAAGCCTTGGAGATCGGAGAGACCAGGAGGGACTCGACACGAATACGGGGGTTGTAGATCTTTTGCTTTGAGAAACCAGGGTCGACCACGTAGACAATACCGTCGATGGTAAGCGACGTTTCGGCGATGTTCGTGGACACAATGACTTTTCTACCGGGACGGCCACCCGGACGACGAGCAGGTGGTGCCGGCTCGAAGATGCGCTGTTGCATATGAGGAGGAAGACTACCATAGAGAGGATAGACCTTGATCGGCCCGGCGTCTGCCTCGCGCATCATCTCGTCCGCCTCCAAAGAAATCTTTCGAGAGGCGTCTTCAATTTCTTCCTCACCCGTCAAAAAGAGCAGGATATCACCCTCGTCTTCAGTAGCGTGAATCTGAAGAACAGTCCGAATGGCGGCTTCAACATAGTCCTGCTCAGGCTCGGGGGTATAGAAGATCTCGACGGGGTGGGTACGACCAGGAACAGCAAGGAGGGGGGCATCGTTGAAATAACGCTGGAACTTCTGCGCATCCAAAGTGGCGGACATGATAATGATCTTGAGGTCGGGTCGGCGCACGACAACCTCCTTCAGAAGACCCATAAGAACATCGGTAGCCATGGTTCTTTCGTGAGCCTCGTCCAAAATGATGGTGCTGTAACGGGTGAGATCGTGGTCGTGCATGGCTTCTCTCAGAAGCATACCGTCCGTCATGTACTTGAGCACCGTCTTGGAACTAGTCATATCTTCAAAACGAATGCTGTAACCGACTTCCTCTCCAAGCTTGACATCCAACTCTGCAGCGACACGCTGGGCGACGGACATAGCAGCGACACGACGGGGTTGAGTACAAGCAACCATCTTGCGCTGAGTCTGCGGCTGATCATCGAAGAGCACGAACTGAGGGATCTGCGTCGTCTTTCCGGAACCCGTCTCACCGACGAAGACGAGGATTTGCGACTTCTGGTAAAGCTGTAGAAATTCATCTCTGCGAAAAATTAGACAACCTGGAACCGAGAATGAACCAGCGCAGCGCTGGCAGGGCACAAAGGGAAAATGCGAAAACCAACCTTTGGGCATGGACGGGGAGATCGCGACGGGTCTGTAAGATGGAGACATATTTGCTGGAGAATGGCTGGTCGTTGAAAGGGTTGATCTCGCCATCCTCGACCTCCTTAGCCAGAGCAGCAGTCGTCTGATGGCGCTTCATCTTGCCAAAGGCCGGGTGAAGGTCCGCACCGCCATTGTCGGGATACATGTGAGCCAGGTACGGGTTGTTCTTGGGATCTGTCTCAGTCTTGGCCATTTTTTGACGCTTAGCACGCGAACCGTTCTCAGAATCCGAGCGACGATCAACCATGGCGTCAGAAGGATTTGGGGGATGGAGAGATGGCGGGATGGACAACAAGTCGCGAGAGAGTTCGTCCGTCGCAGAACTGTTATTGGAGGCGAGTTTGAAGAAAAAATGGCGGCCCTGATAGGCAAGTCGGCCGGGCCTCGCCAGTCGCCACAGATACTTTTTGTTCCGCTCACCGCCAAAGTATTCTGCCGCTATTTACCCCACGGCGGTTCGGACTGGCAAGGGGAAAAAGAGCAGCAGAACCACGTTTGACAGCCAGCTTCATCCACCCAGGCACACATCGTTGGTGAGCACAGGCCGGCAGTTCTCCTCTTCAACCCCATTGCGTGGCTGGCTCTTGTTAGTACTCACCTCTTCATACACCCTGCAACTCCCTCTTTCCTACAATGGCCTAACATCACTTCTTGTATTGAAACTCAATTGATCGACCACAGGTGGGACCGCAATCTTCATCCGATCAACAAGCCGTTCTCGACGATATATAGTCCAATCGCTCTTCACGCAGTCCATTTACTTTTATCGCCCCGAAACTCGCAGGCAGAACCACCTCCCATCTCTTTAATATCTCTTTGTCTGCCAAAATGGAGTCCTTTACCAACTCCGACACTGTCAACATGACCTTCTGCATCGGGCAGCATGAGGAGGACCGAAAGGCACCCATTACCAATGAAATGGTACAAGCAGCACACGAGAGTAATGTACGAAGCTACAACCCTAGGATGCAATCATCTGCTAATTCTTCTTCCTGGATAGTATGACATGTTGACTGCGCCGGTAACCACCTCCCACTTCCAATCCCGAGTGCTCGCTCTTCTCTCGACCTATCAAGGGAGCTTACAACCTTCGGCACCAGGGTCCAATGGAACGATGATGACCAGCGATAACACACGGCCGCTCGTGATTCCTGAGCTGGGACCCGCTGATACGCACATGACCCCGAACGAGGCAATGACCCAGCTGGTCGGCGTAACCAGCTCCTGGATTGACTTGTGCTCTCCGGACCCTCTGATTGCAGACATCTCTCGCCAGGTCTTCATGCTGGAAGTGAACTATGCCGCCTTCTGTGGAATTGGATACCTTCTGATCCCGGGGCCAAAACTCCACCACAATGACGCTCATTCGGAGCAGATCATCTACTATGCACGAGCCGTGCAAGATGCCATAAATGTCGCGCCTTACATTCAATTCCACATCTGGACGCAGATGGCCGACACCCCGGATCTCCAAGGAGACAAAATTACAGATTTGGCCAGCCTCGCGCGCAAGGAGTTTGTCAGTGACTCGGTCGATTCGGTGTCACAGATTGACCCGTTCGGCACCTGGGATGCCTGGGATATCATCAGAAGAGTCTGTAAATACCACACAAGACTCGTCGTAGGTATGGTACACCGCTGCATCTTCGTAGTCTCAATCCTGCTCTTGTATAGTCTTGCTGATCATTGTACTAGCACTCGCACTGCCCAAGCAACTTCCTCCGATGTCCGTGCAGTCCCGCTGGTACTCGGAGCCCACTCACATGCTCACGATTCATGGTAATACCTTCCTCAAAAACCAAAAAGGATACCCCGTGCTGTCAAAGGCACACCAAGCTTTGATTGCTCGATTCATGCGCCTCCGAACCGCCCCCTGGATCCTCCTTTGTGAAGTTGGCCCTATTCCAGGAGTGGAGGTGGACGAGTCCTTTGAGAACCCTGATGCACCAGGCCCGGAGTATCCCAGCCTCGCGCAGGCTGCAGTCTCGAACAAGAAGCACCACGATCCCACTCCTCATCTATCTTATGTCAGAAACCTCCAGTCCCGCCAACCTCCCCGCAGCGCTATGGAACGGTTTGGGACAGGCTATCAAGATTATCTCCAAGCCCCGCTGCAGCCATTAACCGTCAATCTGGAGAGTATCACCTACGAGGTCTTCGAGAAAGACCCCATCAAGTACGATTGGTACGAAAGAGCCATCGCGAAGGCCCTGACGGACTGGTCGAAGAAGCCGAAATCCGGGCCCGATGGCAAAGTATCGGTCGCTGTTGTGGGAGCCGGTCGAGGACCGCTCGTCGGCCGTGCGCTTCGAGCCAGCGCCGAAACAGGCGTGGAAATTGACCTTTGGGCGGTGGAGAAGAATCCCAACGCATTTGTTCTTCTCCAGCGTCACAACAAGAATCACTGGGGCGGTAAAGTCACGCTGGTCCACTCCGACATGCGAAGCTGGAAGGGCCCTCAGATCGCGAAGGGAACCGCTCCGGCATTGGTAAGAACAGCCAGACACTTTCTCTCCATATGCAAATGACAAGAGTCCCCATTTTAACGCTAATACTCAAATCCAGAACTCGACGCAATCACCCACCTCTGGCACCGCGAAACCCGAACTCGTCCCTACCACGATCGACATCCTCGTCTCCGAGCTGCTAGGCTCCTTCGGCGACAACGAGCTTTCGCCCGAATGCCTCGACGGCGTCACCCACCTCCTCACCCCCGTCCACGGCATCTCCATCCCGGCCTCATACACCGCCCATCTCACCCCGATCGCGGCGCCCAAACTACACGCCGACGTGATGAACCAGTCCATTTCCAACCCCGCCGCCCCCGAGACGCCGTACGTGGTGATGCTGCACGCCATCGACTTCCTGTCCTCGAACCAGCCCTCGGCCGCCGCGCTGATGAACTCCGGCGCCGGGAGCCACCACAGCGTCCGCAACTCGATCTCCACGCTGCCCGGCGCCGGCGGATCCAGCGAGACACCCATTCCCTTCGTGCAGACCACCTGGTCCTTCGAACACCCGAACCTCAATATCCCGCCGCAGTCCCCGTCCTCGTCGACGATCTCCAACGCCCACAACGTGCGCCGCACCCGCCTGACGTTCCCCGTCCAGAACCGCGGCGTCTGCCACGGCCTGGCGGGCTATTTCGAAACTGTGCTCTACCGCGACATCGAACTGTCGACGAATCCCGTGACCATGGACGCCAAGAGCCAGGATATGATTAGCTGGTTCCCCATCTACTTCCCTCTCAAGGTCAGTTTTTGCCTCGAAAATGTCCCCGCGTAACCCTACATCTCAGAGATATCCTTGAGAATTACTGTTTATGAGGGTTGAAAATTAACATTGGAAAAATCAAACGGCAGACCCCCCTCAACGTCCCCGATAATGGCGAGGTGGTTGTCACCATGTACCGCCAAACGGACAACCGCAAGGTCTGGTACGAGTGGATGGTGGAGGTGTTCGCGCTGGAAGGCGCCGCAGCAGCAGCAGGAGGCAACCTGGAACCTTCCACGGCCGTCGAGCTGGTGGCGGCTCCGGTCATGAGCGGTGCTCGGACGGCGACGGCGACTGGCTCCTCCGTCCACGGCGGCCCCGATCTGGAGCGTTCCAGGGCGGCGGCGGCGGCCAGATCACGTGGCGTCCGGCGCGTGCGAGTTGGCACCAGCGATCTGCACTCCAGTATCAAGGAAGGGTGTCTCATGTGATCTGTCGCTTTAGGATGCCTTTGTCTTGTAGTGATTGATTCTCAGGGGAAGGGGATCATGGGCTATCATGACGTAGTGATAGTGGAAAGGGGAGGGGAGGGTTGGTGAAAACCTGCTGTGGATGAAGTATCACGGGTTGGTGTTGGTTATTGTGTGAGGCGGGCTGCGTGTGATGTGTGATGTGTGATGAAATGAATATACGTAGTCAGATTTCTGGAGTGTAGAGGGAGAGAGGGAGAGAGAGCGAAGCGGGAGGCCATAGTACAGTACAGTTTACCCAGTACACATGCCACCTACTAGAACAAAGAACATTGAGTTGAATCGAGTCGAGCGGAGTCAGTTGCCTCTCACTCTTCGCTGGTTGAGCCACATATACACACACGGTTGGTTTGAGATTATCCGACCATCCATCCCACCCTCGGACTTGTGCTCCGCTTACGATTTGACAAGCCAAGAATGTACAGAAAAAATATGACCGCGGATTAATGTCCGCTCTATAAACGATGACGACCGACTGGACGGGATCCAGACGGACGGACCATTGTCAATGGGGATTTCCCTCCCGACGGCTCGCTGAATTGAGAGTATGGGTATAGGCAATGATTTCCAATGAGAAGTTAAATGTTATTGGCACGGACCACACAGAAGCGACCGCCTCGCCGCCTGCTAGAGCGATTGGCAATGGATAATCGATGGGGGAACTTGGAAGGGTGGACGTGGCTTGCTTCCTGTGATCTGGATCGAAACGGCCCGAATTTGGAAGTTTGGAAGGGGGAGGGGAATGGCTCAGGGTTCTTGGCCCGACAGATTACTAGGTATTCTTGGGTGGATTCACGGTGGTTTGTTTGGCTGGCTTGGTCTCTCGGCGTCCAAGCGCCCGCGCCCGCGGCCGGAAGGGGAGGGTCCTCGGCGATGGTGGCCTCGCCGTAGTTCGCGATGGACCCCCTTCCCCCTTTCCCCGGGATGGGGCTTAAGGGGGGCTATGTTATGCTGTGACAATCATCCACTGAGTAGTTTGATAGCGACAAGGTACGGAGTACTTGGACTGTACCCACCCGTAGGCGTAAGGTCAGCATAAGCAACGCAGCCTAGCAAAGCAAACACCGAATTCGGTGGGCGGGTCGTCACACTGGGCGCACCTCCGTGGAACAATATGTGAAGCTGCAGATCGGAGGAACTGTAGTCTGTAGCCAAGACAGGAACTAGTGTGGCGGTATGAAGGACTATTGGCGAAGAGGGGAGGTAGAGAAGGGGATCAAACGCTGAGAACAGCCTAAAAGCACGTCCTCAATTATGACGAGTTAGCTCCAGGAGTCATCCATTGGATTTACGTTTACCACAACGAGAGTCAGAGTGAGAAACGTGTTGCCGTGGACTGCCGTGGTTGGTTTCATGTCTTGACGGAGCCCGAGGTTCCGATTAGATAGGCAGCTTTTCGTTAGATATGCATCACATACTCAAGGTTGGCACTCCTTGGTCCTCCCCCTTTGGCAATAGCTGCTGCTGCACTGCCTTATCGTCGTCATCTTTGCTGCACTGCAGAACCCAGATGGATAGTCCAGTTGGCTACGGTGGTTCTCTACCTGGTTTCATGCTGGGATGAATGGGGTCTGGACCACAGCTG